TGGCAGGAAAGTTGACGTTTTAAACCTTAATAAAAAATCGATACAGGGCTTTAGAATATCGATACAGTATCGGGAAATGAAATATCGCGATATTTCAGTGTATCGATATTTTCTCACACCCCTAATATATTCCGTAACTATAAATTGAATATGTTTTAGTAAACAGGTAAAAAACAAACTTGGTGTTGGTGTCCAAATAGATATAGACCTAACTGTGTAAAGGAAAATTTATTGAGAGTGGGTAATCAAGAATCATTTTTTTCTTATATAACTATCTGTTATATCAATAGAAAAAGAGGTGAAAGGTSGGGGAGCCAGCTGTCTAATGGATGAGGTGAATCTATTTAAGTGATACCTTTGTGTAGGGACTTTGATACAATTTTCAAACCCATTTTAGAGTGTTTTTTCTCCTTTTTGCACTCATAAGGCTCTATGTACAGATTCCAAAACTGTTTAGTTTTTTAAAATCGGACTATCCTTTAAGGATTTAGAGGTCCTTAAAGGCTGAAAATTAGAAAGCAAGACCCTGACTTCCATTACACCATAAAAACAGTTGCGGAGCCCCATAGACAACAAWTTTTCAAACCAAAGCAGACTCTACAAAAAAAATTAAGAGAGACTTCATAATGATAAGATGGGGCTAAGCATTAAAACAAGCGACTACAAATCACAAAAACCTGACCAACGCACTGCTGGGGTCAGGCAACGCACCAAAGTACCTACTTTGTGAAACTTAGGATGATCTGAMACAGAAGATGATTATGATAAACTTCAAACACAAATTTATGGGGGGAAATTATCACATGAACATTGATGAACACTGATCAGCACAATGAAATCATCAAAAGTAGCTAAAAGTGCAGAGAAACACACTGAAGTGTTTGTATCTCTTTGAATAAAGAGTTTGACTGTAGAGACTGATGTGAAACGGGTTTGGACAACACGGAAAGCTTTCAGTGAGAAACAGCYCACTTCAGTTTTATTACAGGGTCAGGCATTCTGCTTTAGATTAGAGAGACGCTGTTGACAGAAACACAAAACACACCTATAACTAGAATTTACCTCCGTTTGAATGGGTGCTAATCAGAATTTAAGTCCCATTCTATTTGCAAACAGCACATTTGTGAGAAGAATTTGGGCCTAATTTGATCCACTTGAACATACATTTGGTTTTAGAAGCATCTGGAAAAAATAAAGCTCTGGTTACTCTGTTTACTCTATTTGTTATTGAACTGCAAGACAGTTTCCCATGATAGAATAAGAGGGTTTTAAAACAAAGACTCAACAAGCAATTACTTCCTGTAAATAAAACAGAAAGAGTTGAATATGAGTCAGCCTCCTCCTGACATTGGACTCAATCACTTGTTGAGTCTCTGAATTTAGGAAACATGAAATCCTTGAGTTAAAATGAGGAGATAAAAAAGATACAAAGTCTGTACTAATGAACCAAACAAAATGAATCTTCTGACTTCAACACATTACATTCAACTATAACAGACAGTGTTGAGGAAAAATGTTCTAAATTTAAATTAAAAAATATACACAGTGCCTTAAAGACAGCACCCTCACATTTTTGTGATTGTTGAAGGTTTAATGATGTAAATCAATAAAAGGAAAGGCTTTCACCTTAAAAGCACCACGCATCTGAGAGAAAAGCTAATTCAGGGTTCAGCAGCTCATGCTGGGCGGTATAACAGCCCCTGCATTCATGGAAGGCCTGCTTTCACTTGGCAGGTTTAAATTAGTCCCATCAGGGCAGTTTTTTAAAGCCTCACCTGTCAGGGCTGAGAAAACGACCTGGTGGATTTGAAGATTATAAAACATAAGACTTGTCAACTTGTCAAAAAAAAAATTATGAGAGGAATAAAAGTGACTGAAAAAGATAAGTGACAGTTTATTTTTCCAAACAATGTAACATATGCTGCTCTGTACTCTGAGTGTTTCAGGATTATGTTACAACATGATCAAAGGGAGCAGCAACAACTAACTCGACACACAGTTTGTGTTTTGAGACACTACCATAAATTAAATACAATTTGAAAAGGGGTAACTATCACAGAGAATGGTACCACTTGTGGTTTGCATTTATAAGCTACACCAGTTTAGTTTAAATCAGTTCACTGGTAATCCATCAAAGCAGATGCCTAAAAGACTACAATAAAATGCTAAATTTGGCCTACTACTAGTAGGTATGAGATATTTTGAAGAGGCGAAGGCTGAGATCTTAATTTAATCATAAACATTATGAAAATCAAGAACCAGCCAGGAGTAATGCACACAAAGTTAGAGGGACTAAATAATTATGTAAACACAATTTAAACTTACTGTAGTCAATTGTTCAAAARTTAAGCCTGCTTATTGAACAGATTACTTTTTCATTTCCAGTTTGTAAACCAATGCTGGGATACTACTCTGCAGTGCATGCTAACTCTTGTAGCTATTTTTTTAAATAAAGGGAAAAGTTTAATGGAAATTTGTTCATTCTTCCAAGATTCAGCTGATTAACCCACAGGTTGCTGCTGCAACAGGTAAGGAATGGGGAGTGTTGATTTTATTACTTGAGAAAAGCTTGACTTGGATTGTGGCATCTCATTAAGAGATTTAAACCACAGGAATATGTAAAAAAAAAAAAAATAACGTATTGACAATTTGACTATTTAACAGTGATGTAACCTGAAACCCATAGCCCCATACTTTCTAATTCTATTTCCAATGAAATAACATTTACATTTTTTATTTTTCCCCCAATCAGCCACAGTCTTTCTATAAACCAACCTAACCACTGTTACACTGGAGCCATAATAGCCGTATCAGTATTTCACTGTAAAAACACAAATGTTGCTGCAGGAAACGTTCACTCTGTGAGCACCTTGAAATACTGAGACAAAGAATCCACTTCATACCACTCATGTTTTCCACTTTGGACAAAAGTACTTAACCAACTACAATCACTTTATTTCCACACAATGCCAAACTCTGTTTAAACACACTGTATTTCTGAACAAATAAAAATCAACCTGCAGCACTTAAAAGAAACTAAACCAGATTTTGAAATAGCCTAAAAAACAAAACGGTATTGAAATTTCACCTTTGTTTCTTCTGTATGCTATTTGTATATTGTGTAAAAAATTTGTTATTAAAAATAAGAATAAAATTTTAAAACTACATCCATTGAAATTAGAAAATTATATTAATGTGTATTACAGTAATCTAGATGAATTTGCACTGTCCTTTTAAATAATTGAATGAAAATTTAACATTTTCTAATTAAAAACAAGTAAAAATGTTGCCAACTCCAGTCTGTGGCTGGTGTGAATATAGTACCAGCAATGACAACRTCTCAGCACAGTCACTCACCCGTTAATCATGCTGAGCAGGCCCTCCACCATGTGGGCAAGGTACGAGATCTGGGCACTTTCATCTGGGAAGACAGGCCCATGCATGGAGGCCAGCTGGGCCAGGCACTGAAGAGAGTCCTGGGCCATGTCCGAGTCCTCCCGAATCTTCCTGTGTATCTGCAAACAAGATAAAGCCTCATTCTCAGTCTGTTTATAAGGTATATGAGGGTCACATGTACTCTCAATGATCCATTACATTAAACTCACTACATAGGAGTCTGTCATATTTTACAGCTGACTGAAAAGAAAACAACTAAAGCACAACAGTAATATCTTTGAAGTAGAAGAGAATGTTTTAATAAGTTGCTTGCTGATACTAACATTTGGCTAAAAAATGTAAAAGATTAAAGGTTGTAGTCCTGTTTCAATCCATGGGTCCTGTGTTTGAATGCTACAGAAAGTCCATCCCTGCAAACAAAAGATTACATGTTCGAAAGAACAAACCTATTAGCACTGAAACTGTAGGTGTTATTGTGATTGGTTCTAAATGGTCACTGTTAAATCTTGGAAAATCACACGAGGAGCCAGAGTAACCTGATTTTTATTTTACATAATGCCAGTGTTTTACTACAAGAACATGGTAAATATTTACAAAGTGTTTCTTGCAAAKATAACTGGTTGTTAATTATACAGTACCAGTGCAAATATGTGACCCGTCTAATTGAAATGAGGATTAAGTCACATTTGGTTAAAATGACCTAATTCTGACTGGTCACTGAGTGTGTATTTATGTCTGTGTGTATATACGTATATCTACAATATGTATGAATATAGGCATGTATGTATGTTTATCTTTATATATGTATGGGTATGTGTATATATTTATATATGCCMWCCATGTATTTATCCATTTATTTTTAGGTAAGCAGACAGATGTTGGGTGTGTGGTCCTGTGTTTTCTTGGTGTATATTTAATATACTTCTAATCACTATTTCAATCTTTCTAATTACGTTTCTCTTTGTTTTTTCCCTCTTTCTATTTTCTCTTTACTTAAAAAAAATCACTGATGATGAAGAAATTAAGAAACTAATATTAAGTTCTTTTTTCTACTGAAGTGATTTAAAAAAATGACCTAATTACATTTTCAGATGTCTGCTTTAAAAGCTACATTTTGATACTGGGATCATTCTGTTATCATAAGCAGATCCAGAGATATGACTTAATTTGTCTTGTTGGTTATGATAATACATTACTGTTTGGTCTGAATCCTAATTTTATGTCARTTTATTGAGTAATTTTTTCATGTCAATATAAAGAGTAAACCTCAAATATTTGTATATTAAGATTTCCCAGTTGGAAAGAAACAAAAACTTTGCTAGCTCACAGGGAAAAATTCAAAAATTTTAAAGTGTTTTCCTCAAAATCAGGTTTTTGTTGCTACTGCTAAGAAAAATGCTTCAAAAATTTTTTTAGGATTATATTTCAGACAGTTCATTCATAAGATTCATTGCAAAGGCATTTATTCATTAAATCTTGACAAAATGCAATTTTTGCACGTTGAAATCAAAACCCTATATCTACCTATTTTTCCACATTCCACTTCTGGACTTAATCCTTGTTCTGATGTGATGAGTCACATATAAAGCAAGATAATAAATAGTTCTTAAAATGGCTCCATGAGGTCTACAGTCAAAGGTCAGTCCTGCTCAGTGATTTCCATTGACTTTACATTAAAATTCACTGTTGTCTTTAGATTAACTGGAGCTGTAAAAAAGTTTGCCAAAATTATACAGTAATTTTATGTTGTTGATGTCACATTACTTTTACAAAGAGCTGCTGCACGGTCAATCATCCCAGTGTTGTCACCAAAACCAATGGTGCAACAGATTGCAACAAATCGCAGACCACATGTCCGTAATCTACAGTGTTTGGCAATCAAATGGACCCTCTCTAACCTAAATACCCCAACAGAACAGATATAGTGACTGAACCATAGAATGTGTTGTGATGACAGGAAAAAAAGAGAAGAAAACCCTGTGTTCAACATGACTGATATCACAACTAACATTAAAATAAATACATTTTCCTCATTTTGAACAGCCATTTTTCAACACACGACCTGTGTTGTATTGTTAAAGATGACAGTGAGGTAGGTGAAAGAGGCAATTAAATTGTCAAATTTATTGTTAAAATAACTAAATTATCACTAATAGTAGAAAAGTGACAAAAAACTAAAAATATATTGATCTAAAATGTCAAATTAGATTTGGTGTCAAACAGCAAATGACTTAATTTATGCAAAGCCAAATCACTTTATTTTGTGAATTAACCACCATGTAGATTAAGAACAATTACACTGTAGCTTAAAGCAGTAATCTACTGTGCCAGCTGTAACATGTTACTTAAAAATAAAAGACCCAATTAATGTTAAAAAATTTATTTTTGAGGAAATAAAAATAATTTCAAAAGTTCAACAGAAAACATGTTCTTGCGGTCATGCTTACAAGTGACCTGATGAATTTATCTACTCTTATTTAGTCAAAATGTAACAATCATTTAATGCTGTATCTGGGACTTTTTTTTGCAGAAAATAAAACGAAAAAAATAAAATAAATAAATAAATAAATAAAACCTCTTGAAAGCAGCCTGTCGCACAATTTGTATTGGTTTCTATAAAACAGGATTGGTACAGCGTTCACCCAAATATATTTTCTTAAGACCCAGGGTTTTATTCTTTTTTTTTTTTGTCAAAAAATGACAAAAAAAAGACCCAGGGTTTTATTCTAGTAGATCCTTTAAATCAGCTGATAAATTACTATGTTGCTATTTTTTCCACATTTAAAGACGAAACTGTGCAGCAAACACTGGCTTGAAATAGCAAAGCCGCAGGTCAAGATCCAAAGGGTGAACCTGCTTCAAACCTCTGTCGTTGTGTAAAAAACAAACCGGCAGATAAAGATTAATACTCACTTGTTTGACAAATAACTCAACAAATTGAGGGCTTGGAAAAGAAACAACTGTTTTTGTTTTCAGTACGACCTCAGTCTCCAACGAACAGTCGCTACTCCTGTGGGAGCTCACAGGAGATGTCAATCACACATGGAGAGGAAGAATCGGACTCCTGACAGATCTGTCTGATTTGGTCTCTTTAAAGCCTGGAGCTGCTCCTCAGATGTGGGACTTAAGATTCACACTTCAGCAGGAGAAGAGTAGCTGCAGAGATGTCACTGCCAGCCATCACGGCAACATGTGTTTCCACTGAAGGTCCTATGCAGACGTCTGGAGCTCAAAAGCCTTCCTCCTTGGAGCTGTGGCTCTCTTCTTATCCAGCCTCTTCCTTCTTCCTCTCCCGTGTCTTTAATGTTCATCCTAATAAATCCACAGCCAGTGTAACCTCACCAGCTCCTCACACGCAAACCCGTGTCTGGCCCCATTACAGAAGCAATCAAACTTTTCAACCTCACTCTCTTTGGCTCCTTTCCTTTTCTTGTCCTCCTTTAAAAATTCTCTCCCCTTCTCACTTTCTTCCTTGCTGAGCCTCCACACTTCTCTTGTCTTTCTGCTCTACAGCTGTGCTGCCCTACTGCCCAGTTGGTCACAAGCCACAGAGCTGGGAAGAGATCTCAGATGCTAACCGAGTATAGCTGCCACACCGGAGTCTTCGGTGCTGCTGCTCTCTTCCAGAGCGTGAAGTCATCCTCTGGAAGAAATCAGCAAGAGGGAAGGGGAGGAGGGGGCTAACTGGTGAGGGAGAGAGAGAGAGAGAGAGGAGAGAAAGCAAGAGGGAGGGGCTGAAGAGCCATGCAAGGCCAACGGACTGAACAGCGCCAGCTCTGGAAAAGCAGCTGCTTCTGTGAATGAGCCATACCATGCCAGTAATGTCAGCCGCTTCCAGTCTGACTATAGTTGGAGATACACACTAAATATGAATGTGTGTGTGTGTGTGTGTGTGTGTGTGTGTGTGTGTGTGCGTGCAGCAGTACGAATGAAGTAGATTTAGAAAAAAATACAGGAATAAGCTACATTTTCAAACAAAAACCAAATTTCACAAAAATTATTCATGACACTGTACTGCATGCCATTTTATAATTTTCTTTATGTTTTTCTATATTTTCTTGATGCTATAGGTACCCATGTACCATTAAACTAGTACTTTGTTCATAGCCTATTAAACTGCCATATTCAAGTTTATTTTTCAAGTTATTATATTTTTCTAATTATCTATAATGTAATTGATAAGGTCTATATTAACAAGAGAAGGTTAAATAGTGCTGCCCGATAATATGTCTGATAATTAGGGCTGCCGCAAACAATTATTTTTATAATCAATTAATCACCGAATATTTTTTTCGATTAGTCGACTAATCAGATCATACATTAATTGAATATAAAACATAGAGCTTATCGTGCCAGAATGCAGCTGCTATTATATAACCATGGTTAGATTTTAGCTATATGCTAACTAAAAATAATTGCTGTGGAAGGTAAGTTCTGCTCTGCAGATATTACACAGGTTTCTCTTTCATTTTCTTAAAATGATCCCACACTTTGAGCTCTGTTGTCAGGTAGCCATGATACCAGAGCCTGTCTGTATAATGTCTTGTGACGTCCACGGCCTACCCCAGTTACCACTACTGTGCATGTGTGTCAAGGACAGAAAGGCAGATGTGGCAGTGGAAGGTGTCAAAGCAGTTTGGAGAGAAAAACAAAGTAAAGAACAACAACAAAAAAAGATTAATCGATTATTAAATTAGTCATCGATTATTTTAATAATCGATTAGTTGTCGACTAATCGAGGCAGCCCTACTGATAATAAATCATTTAAATGGTCTTTCTCCTGGTTACTGGATGTTGCTGAAAATGGACAAAAAATAATAATTTTGAATTTATTCAGTGAGTACTTCAGTTATTTATCTAATATTTACGATCAGGTTACAGACTCGTTACTAGATTAATTTCTAACCAAACTACAGACACATTCCAGTCGGACTTAAAGTACTGAGACTAATGGTTCAGGCCTGGAATAAAAAATATAACTGGAACGAAGAAAGGATGAAGGCTAATGAGGAGCATAACCAGCATGAAGGAGAAATTAAGGAAATTCTGGAGACAGCTACCAGACGAAGAAAAAAAAACAGAGGAGATACAAAATGATAACAAGGATTGAAAGAAAAAA